AGTGACAACAGCACTCAGTCCCAAATACTCAGTCCCAAAGGCTTCAAGGCTTCCCAACAACAGTTGGGAACCTCAAAGATCCAAATGGGCTAACTCCAAGTGGTGGAAGTAAGAGCAAAAACCTAGGTGACCTAGAGAGAGACCACACAGTGCCAACCACCCCTCCCAAAAGCGTAGAAGGGAACAAAGAGCCTGGCCTTTGGATGAAGCCCCAATTCGTGAACTAAAGCAGGAGAAATAAGTAAATCAAAGAAAACATTGAAAGGTATAAAAAATTATGGCAAATCCAAATCCATAACTATAAGCTATAATTGCTATAAGCAGAGACTCAAATGAAAAAATGGAAGTCCATGAGAATTATATAAATACCTCCAAGAAATAAAGAGATAAAAAAATGAAATAAAAGCTCTGAAAGAACGGAAAAGAAATTAAATAGCTTAGAAGAGAAAATAGTGAAGCTTAGAAGAGAAAGTGGTAGGAATCCCCCAAAACTAGAATAGAGCAATCAGAAATCAATGATTCCATGACGTGGTAACAAATATTCAAACAAAATCAAAATATTGAAAAAGTAGACGATAGCAAGATATCTAATAAAAAAAAAAAACTCTGACCTTGAAAATAGGTCAAGGAGAGATACTTTAAGACTCAACGTACTTGGGACAGCTAGGTAGCACAGTGGATAGAGCACCAGCCCTGGATTCAGGAGGACCTGAGTTCAAATCTAGCCTCAAACACATAACATTTACTAGCTGTGTGACCCTGGGCAAGTCACTTAACCCCATTGCCTAGCCACCCCCTCCAAAAAGGAAAAAATCAATGTACTTGCACAAACAAAACTAATGCAGTCAAAACTAGAAGGAAAACAGGAAATGAGAAAATTTTTACAGCAAGTTTCTCTGCTAAAGGTCTCATTTTCAAATATAGAAGGAACTGAGCTGAATTTATAAAAATACATGCCATTCACAAATTGATAAGTGGTCAAAGGATATGAACAAGCAGTGTTTAGAAGAAAAAATCAAAGCTATCAATGCTCTCATGAAAAACGTTCTAACTCACTATTGATTAAAGAAATGCAAATTAAAACAACTCTGAGGTACCACCTCACATCTATCAGATTTGATAACATTACAGAAAAGGAAAATAACAAATTCTAGAGGGGATGTAGAAAAACTGGGACACTGATGAACTGTTGGTGGAGTTGTGAACTGGTCCAACTATTCTGAAAAACATTTGGAATTCTTCTCAAAGGTCTATAAAACTGCATATCCTCTAACCTAGAAAATCCACTATTAGGTCTGTATACCAAAGGGATCAATGAAAAAGGAAAAAGTGTTCAAAATGTGTACAAAAATAGTTATAGCAGGTCTTTTTGTGGTGGCAAAAATTGGTAATTGAGGGGATGTCTATCAATTGGGAAATGGCTGAACAAATTGTAGTGTGTGATTGTGATGGAATACTATTGTTCCATAAGAAATGATGAGCAGGTTGGTTTCAGAAAAGCCTAGGGTGACTAATATGAACTGATGCAAAGTGAAGTGAGCCAAACTAGGAAAACATTTACACAGTAACAGCAATATTGTAACAATGATCAACTGTGAAAGACTTAGCTACTCTGACCAACAATCATCCAAGAAAATTCCAAATGACCCATGATGAAAAATGCTATCTCCAGAGAGAGAATTGATGAACTACAAGTGCAGATTGAAGCATACTCTTTTTTATAACTTTCTTTATTTTTTTGTGTGTGTATTGTGTTTATTTTCTTTTGCTAATATGTAAATAGGTTTTGTATGACTTCACATGTAATCACATAATAATTTACACATAATTGATATATTCACACATAACCAATGTCATATTGCTTGCTTTCTCAAGTGATAGGGAAGGGGAGGGAGGGAGAGAAACTGGAACTCAAAAAAATTTTAATGAACATAAAATTCTTTTGCATGTAATTGAAAAATATTTAACAAAATAAAAATATAACTTTAAAAAATCATTGGACTCCATGAAAACTATGCCCCTCCCAAGATCTTGGACACTATATTTCAAGAAATCATACATGAATGCTGCCCAGACCTATTAGAACTAAGGGATAAAGTGGAGATATACTGTACCTATCACCTCCTGAAAGGACCTCCAAAAGGAAAAGTCCCAGGAATTATATTAGCTAAAATTTAGAACTCCCACGTCAAAGAACAAGTACTGCAAGCATCTGGAAAAAAGCAATTCAAGCACCAAGGACCCACAATCAGTACCACACAAGACCTATCAGCTTCTGCTGTAAAAGAGGAGAGATCTTAGAATACAATATTCTGAAAGGCAAAAAGACAGAGGCTTATAATTGAGAAAAACTGACCTTACAAAGCTGAGTATAATCCAATGGGGAAAAGGAGGGGAATGAACCTTTAATGTAATAGGGGAGTTTCAAACATTTCTGATGACCAGAGCTAAGTAGGAACTTTGAAATAAAATCATGCTTACTAGCTGTGTGACCCTGGGTAAGTCACTTAACCCTAATTGCCTAAACAAAATAAAAATAAAAAATAAATAAAATCATGAGAAGTCAGAAAAACCCAGAAAGATAAATTTGTTTGAAGAATTAAAAGTTGTATGATGATGTAGTGCTAATAAGGAAAGAAGAAACAAGTTTCCCTTCAGAATATTAATGTCTTCAAAGGATATTAAGGGAGTTAAATAAGAAAAACAGAAGACCTGTGGGTGGACTTGGTTCTATTCTGAGAACTTGAAGAGGGAAAATAGAAAGGAATGTAAATAGAGGAATATACAAATGTAGAAAAGAAAAAAAGGGATTGTCACTTGGGATTTCTTATAATTGGGGTGAGTAAAAAGAAAAATATACAACTATGGTAGAAGGGGTAGAGGAAGTTGGCATCAGATGAATTTTACTTTTATCTGAATAGACAAAGGAGAACTCAACACAAACATATACATACAAATATACTAAGAATTTGGTATAGAAATATATCAAACTCACTGGGGAAAAAAGAAGGGGTAAGGTTAAGAGAAAGAATGATACCAGAGAGGAATAGTCATAAGCAAAATACACTTTCTAATGTTAAAGGGAGGGATTGAAAGGGGAGAAGAGAAAAGAATTAGAATCTAAAGGGGTACTTAAAATTCCTCTTAGTCAATTTGGGAATGGCTGAGCAAATTGTGGTAAATGAATTGCACATAATAAAATATTATTATATAGCAAGAAATTCTGAAAGAGATAATTTCAGAGAATACTGGGTAATTATTGTTTGTCCTTTGTTCTCAAAGAGGACCATGATATCAGGAAGGTGATGCCATGACTTGCAAATGAATTGGATTTAAGTGAGGGAGGGCTGTACAAAGTCACCAGCCTCACTTTCTCCTCCACAGCCATCTGAATCCAGTGGCAAGATACAGATCAGGATAACTGGAGATGGCCCTGGATGCAGTGGGAAACCATGGCCTTTTTAAGGTGAGGTCTTTCCTAGGTCTCAGCTTGACTGAGGCAATGCCCATTCAGTGATTAAGGCTAGGTAAAAGATGAGGCAAAGAATGGCCTCTTTTACCTAGTAAAAAAAAATTATATATATATATATGTGTGTGTGTGTGTGTGTGTGTGTGTGTGTGTGTGTATAAATACGCATATATATGTATATTACATATGTATGGATATATGTATATATCAGTCTGAGAGGTGAAGATCCTCAGGGTTTCTGGCCAAAACAGAAAGAATTGCTATTTACATTCACTTTGAGCCAATCAGGGCCCAAACAGTGACCCTGTGGGCTTGGGCTGGGACCTATTGTTGGCCAATCAATGACAGCCAGAGTGATTTGGGTATTTAGCGTGGTCTTTAAGAAAGAAATCTAGCCCATAAACTTCAAGATATATTGTCAGGTTTTAGTAATCAAAATTTACAATCCTTTGGGCAGGGCACCTGCAGGTAAGGTTATGATATCATATGTGGACAGAGGGAAGGGAAGGAGGCAAGGCAAGGCAAGGAAGAAGGAAGGAGCTGCATTGCCCAATGCCAGTTGGGTCTCCAGTGGGTAGTATGGATTCACATGAAAAAGTGAGCAAAATCAGGAGAACAATTTATATGAGGACAGTAATGCTGTTTTCACAAAAAGGCAATTTTGAAAGATTTGAGAACTATTATCAAAGCAATGACCAACAATGTCTTAAGAGGACCCCTGATGAAGTATGTTACCCACGTCCTAAAAGAGTGGTGATGGACACTAGGTGCAAAGACATGCATTTTTGGACATAGATACTATGTGAAATCATTTTTGCTTGATTGTACTTATTTGTTAAAAGGGTTTTTTTTTCTTTCACTTAATGAGGGGTGGTGGAAGGATTAAGGTTAAGGATTAGGTATTAGTAATAGTGATGTGTCCCCTCACTCAAAAAAAAGAGGTCCATTAAAATCTTAAAAATTCACAGAACCAAAAGCAATTCAGAAGAAAGTACAGATAAGCAAGATAGTTTCGAAAGTAGCTTGCAGAATTTATTATGTGCTATTTTTTAAAGCAAACTGTGTGAAATAGAAATTCATTGTTACACTGAGTCCTCTTTTTTCTACTATGCTATGTGTATAGAAACGCTCTTTTTTGATATTTAAGTTCAGAATAATTTTTTATTAATAATGACAGCTAAGTAGAGGCTGCATGGTTTAGTAAATGGAGCAGTGGACTTGGAGTCACCTCAGCCATTTGCTAACTGTATGATCCTAGGCAAGACACTTTACCTATCTATGTCTCAGTTTCCTCATCTTTAAAATGAAAGTTTGAATTAATGGCCTCTAAGATCCCTTTCAGCTCAAAAGTGCTTTCCTCACAACAACCTTATGAGATAGGTAATGCAAAAATTATTATCCTTATTTTATAGATGAAGAAACTGAGCCAGGAGAGGGGTGGGGTCAGGCGGAAGTTGCTCATCACACAGAAAATCAGTGAGGGTTTCTAACTCCCAGATCAGACCTTTTCCCTTCCAGAACATTGCCTTACCTCTTTCATGAAGATTAAGCTGCCATCTACTCCAGGAAGATGTCCTTGTCATACTCAACCCTCAGTGACCACTGATGTCTCTTCAACTCCAACACGGCATTTCATAAGGTCATAGATGAAATATAAACCATGAAATATAAACTCCTCATTTTACAGATGAGGAAATGGAGGCACAGAGAGGATAAGTTACTTGTCCAGGATCACATAGCTATCAAGTGTCTGAAGTGGGATTTGAACCTAGGTCTTCTTGATTATTGACTGGGCAGCTGAGTGCCTAACCTGAAGTCAAGAAGACTCACCTCCCTGAGTTCAAATCTGGCCTCAGACACTCACTAGCTGTGTAACCTCAGACAAATCACTTACCTTGTTTGCCTCAGTTTCCTCATCTGTCAAATGAGCTGGAGAAGGAAACAGCAAACCATTCCAGCATCTTTACCAAGAAAGCCCCAAATGGGGTCACAAAGAGTCAGACACGACCAAACTGAACTTCTTGATTCCAAGTCTCTTCCTCTGTCTGCTACTCCACACCGAATGCCTCAGTGCACTCAATTTAATATGTCTCGTGAACAAGCCTCCCCACCAAGATCAACAACAGACATTAATTAAGCCCCTACTTTGTTCAGGTCCCTGTACTCACTGCTGGGGATATGAAGACAGACACCACACAGACCTTGTTCTCAGGAAGCAGACAATCTAAGCGGGCAAATGCCACATTTACACAGTTAAATATAGCACAAAGTGTAATGTGGTTGGGGCAGAGGAAAGGTCCAGACAGGATTGTCTAGGAAGTAGAGAAGGAAAGGTGGAGGGAGGGCTCAGGTAAGGTTTCCTGGAGGAGAGATCACCTAGCTGAATATCTTACCTGCTTCCTTCAGAAACAGGTTAAGGAGGTTCCCACTAAACCTTCAGGGATGAAGGTGCAGAAGCACAGATTCACAAACCTAAGAGGAACCTTAGAAATAATCTAGTCCACATCTTTCCAGACATGTCAAATAAATCTACCGACATTTATTAAGCACCTTAACCACCCTTGCCCCACCTCCCACACATGTCCCACATTTATGTGGCTGCTAGTTCCTAGAGGCAGCAGCTCAGGCTGGGCAGTTAGCTCTGTTGAAACTAGCTGCCAACTCCCTAGATGCCAAAGGGATGCCCTCTCCACTGTCATTTCCGCCCCCTTCCATCTACACAAAAGAACTGTGCTGTACCTACCAGCTCTACAAAGAGGTCAGATCTCTGATGAAAGTCAGGTTGGGACAGCTGTTCCTCTCTTTGGCCACATGTGCGTTTGGCAGCCAGCCCTGGGATGGGAAGTCTGGGAGAACCAGTAACTGTGGGTTTGTTCTCCTTCTTCTCTGCCCTTCCTTTCTATGTGTCTGCACCTTCCTCCTTCTCTCTCTCTCCTTTTGTTTGTTTCTACCTCTTTCAGTCTATTTTTGTTTCTCCAGCTGCTTTCACTTTCTAAAGTAAAAGCAAACACAGGGGAAATGCTGCAACTTCTATGACCTTTGTCTTAACTCATTCCAACATGTGAATATTTAATCCATATGAGTATAAGTCAAGTTATCCTTGAAAAAAATAATCTAGAGTCACAAGGTCACAGATTTAGATTTATAAAGTACCTAAAAGGCCAACTAGTCCAGCTCCTCGGTTTTATAGATGAGGAAACTGGTTATACAAGTCAGAACAAACAAATGAATGAAAAAATATCTGTTCAGTTGTATCTGACTCTTTGTGACTCCATTTGGGGTTTTCTTGACAGAGATACTAGAGTGGTTTGCCAATTCCTTCTCCAGCTTATTTTACAGATGAGGCAACTGAAGCAAACAGGGTTAAGTGACTTGCCCAGGGTCACACAGTGTCCATGCTTGGACAGGAAGATGAGTCTTCCTGACTCTAGGCCCAGCACTCTATACACAATGCCATCTAGCTGACCGGAAAAGAGCTTAGGGACCATCTCTTATAAGGCTTCAGCACATAGTAAGCGTTCAGAGAGTAAAAAATATCAAACTGTCAGAGCTGGGAGAATGCTCAGAAGCCTAGATCTAGCTTCTCTCACTTCCCTTGCCCACTGCTAGAATTCCCTAACAGAATGTCATCTCTGGATTATTTCCTTTTTTAAGAAATATTTTATTTTTTCCAATTACATGTAAAAACAATTTTTAACATTCATTTTAAAAAATTTTAAGTTCCAAATTCTCTCTCTTCCCTCCCTTCCATCCTCCCTGAAATGGTAAGCAATCTGATAATAGGTTATGCATATTCAATCATGTAAAACATTTCTATGTTAGTCATTTCATACAAGAAGACTGAACAACAAAAAAAGAATGAATAAATGGAAGAAAGGAAGGAAGGAAGGAAGAGGAAAATTGTATGCTTCAGTCTGTATTCAGATAATATCAATTCTTTCTTTGGAGGCAGATAGCAAGTTTCATCATAAATCCTTTGGGATTGTCTTGGATCATTGTATGCCTGAGAGTCGCTGAGTCATTCACAGTTCTTTATCATACAATATTGCTCTTACTGTGTATAACGTTCTCCTGGTTCTGCTCACTTCACTTTGCATCAGTTCATATAAGTCTTTCCAGGTTTTTCTGAAACAATCCTGCTTATCATTTCTCATAGCACAATAATAAAATCCTATACCACAATTTGTTCAATCATTCCTCAATTGATGGGCATCCCCTCAATTTCCAATTCTTAGCCACCATAAAAAGAACTGCTATAAATATTTTTGTATATGTAGGTCCCTCCCCCCACCCCCTTTTAAAAATCTCTTTGGGATATAGACCTAGCAGTGCTATTGCTGGATCAAAAAGTATGCACAGTTTTATAGCACTTTGTGCATAGTTCCAAATTGCTCTCCAGAATGTTTGGATCAGTTTGCAACTCCACTAATAGTGCATTAGTATCCCAATTTTCCCGCATCCAACATTTATCATTTTCTTCTTTTGTCATATGGGTTAATCTGATAGGTGTGAGGTAGTACCTCTGAATTGTTTTAATTTACATTTCTCTATTCAATAGTGATGTAGAGCATTTTTTCATATGACTATAAATAGCTTTGATTTCTTTATCTGAAAGCTCCCTGTCCATATTCTTTGACCATTTATCAATTGGGGAATGACTTGTATTCTTATAAGTTTGACTCAGTTCTCTATATACCTGAGAAGTTAAGCCTTTATCAGAGATAACTTGCTGCAAAAAAAATTTTCCCCAAGTTTTCTACTTTTCTTCTAATTTTGGCTGAATTGGTTTTGTTTGTGCAAAAACTTTTTAATTTTATGTAATCAAAATTATTTATTTTACATTTCATAATGCTCTCTAAATCTTGTTTGGTCCTAAATTCTTCCCTTATCTGTAGATATGACAGGCAAATTATTCCATGTTTTCCTAATTTGCTTATGATATCACCCTTTATGTGTAAATCATATACCCATTTTGAACTTCTCTTGGTATACAGTGTGAGATATTGGTCTATATCTAGTTTCTGCCACATTGTTTTCCAGTTTTCCCAGCAGTTCTTGTCAAATAATGAGTTTTTGTCCTAAGCTTGGATCTTTGGGTTTATCAAACACTAGATTACTGTGGTCATTTACTACTGTGTATTATGTACCTAATCTATTCCACTGCTCTACTACTCTATTTCTTAGCTAGTACCAGATTGTTTCAATAATTGCTGCTTTATAATATAGTTTGAGTTGTGGTATGGTTAGACCACCTTACTTCACTTTTTTTATTGATTACCTTGATATTCTTGACTTTTTGTTCTTCCAGGTGAATTTATTATTTTTTCTAGCTCTACAAAATAGTTTCTTGGTAGTTTGATTGGTATGGCAGCGAATAAATAGATTGATTTAGGTAGAATTGTCATTTTTATTATATTGGTTTGGCCTATCCATGAGCAATTGATATTTCTCTAGTTGTTTAGATCTGACTTTATTTTTGTTGTTTTTGTGTGAAAAGTGTTTTGTAATTGTGTTCATATAGTTCCTGGGTTTGTCTTGGCAGGTAGACTCTCAAGTATTTTATATTGTCTACTGTCATTTTAAATGGAATTTCTCTATCTCTTGCTGCTGGGCTTTGTTAGTAGTATGTAGAAAGCCTGATGATTTATGTGGGTTTGTTTTTTATCCTGAAACTTTGCTGGTTATTAATTGTTTCAATCAGTTTTTAGTTTACTCTCTAGGATTCTCTAAATATACTACAATATCATTGGCAAAGAGCAATAGTTTTGTTTCTTACCTTCAAGGGTTCACTTATTGCCTGTTCAAATACCTTCAATTTCTTTTTCTTCTCTTATTGCTATAGCTAGCATTTCTAGTACAATATTAAATAGTGGTGATAATGGACTTCTTTGCTTCACCCCTGATCTTATTGGAAAAGCTTCTAGCTTATGCCAATTCCAGATAATGCTTGCTGATGGTTTTATAGAGATATTAGCTATCATTTTGTGGAAAACTCCATTTATTCATATGCTTTCTGGTGTTTTTAAAAGGAATGAGTTATGTATTTTGTCAAAAGCTTTTTCTGCCTTTATTGAGATAATCTTAAGATTTTTGTTGGTTTTGTTATTGATATGGTCAATTATACTGATAGTTTTCCTAATATCCAACCAGCCCTGCATTCCTGGCATAAATCCCATCTGGTCATAGTGTATGACCCTTGCAATGTATTGCTGTAATCTCCTTACTAGTGTTTTATTTAAAAATTTTGTATCAATATTCATTAAGGTAATTGGTCTATAGTTTTATTTCTCTGTTTTTGCTCTTCCCGGTTTATGTATCAGCATGTATCTGTGTTGTAAAAGGGATTGATAGAACTTCTCTGCCCATTTTCCCAAATGTAGAGGGCCAGCTCTGATTAGTCCAGAAAAGGGTTAAAGAATTCAGGTTGGAATTTAACTCCTGCCTGTTCTTACCTTCAAGGGCTCACTTAATCAGGATGTTGGCTCACCACTCTCCTATTCATTAAAGGGCTCCTGGAACTGCCCGACTGTGACACAATAAAAGTCTGGCATGAGGGATAAGGTGGCAAACTAGGAAGGACTAGTCACCTACTCTGAGATAACCTGAGACAGCCCTGAGAATGATTGTCGAGGCCTGTTAATTGACTGTTAATCTCTGTCTTGTAACCATTTGTTTAAAATGATGTAATCCTTTTTTCTTGACACTTTTATTGTATGATCTTTTGATGTATGTCCTGAAAGCATTTTTTTACCGAGCTCTGAACCTTGAAAGTTATCAGTAACAGTTACAGAATATGCATAGTTTTTCCACACAAGCGACCCTTTGTAACTCCA